GGACTTGATGATCTTACAAGTCTTTTCCAACTTATTGATTCTATGGTATATAAAAAAAGGATCTTGTGCTAGAATGACAAGTTTAAAATTTTCAGGTGCTACTACAAAAGAAATAAAGGGACCTCTTCCACTCCAGACAGTCCTCCTGAAATCTAAGCTGTCAACTGGCTTTTTAAACATGTTCACAGCCATGCTATCAAATAATCAGCGTAATTCTCCTCTCATGAGTCTAACCAACTCTTGCAGCTGATCCAAGAGCAGAGTTAAAAGACCAGGCACATGCAGAGTATGTCACCTTAAAGGGAAGTGAAATGAAAGACCCAACGCTGAACCAGCCTACCACTCCCAGTTACATCTTAGGGCATCAGCACCAGACTTCCTTTAGTCAGAAAGCCCTTACAGCAGAAGATTTAAGTCCTCAAAATTTGGAATTCCTCTTCAGATGGCTCTTAGGAGTCTACTACCCTCACCTCTTTTACAAGGGATGCATTTGACTGAGTGCTATTCCAGCTGGGTAGCGATTTGTCCCAGCTCTGCCTGGATGTTTTCTGGAATCATACTCCTTTATGCTGTATTCTTCCCAGTCAACCTTGTTCTCAGGCATTACGTCCTCTGAACAGACAGTAAAAAAATGCCTACAAATCAGACTAAACAATCATTTATTGTTAGGCAGTGTTGATACCATCCATGGTGCCCAAGTGTTGAAAATAAAATAGCTCAGATTTCCTAATAGGTTCACGCATTCAGATGACTAAAAATGTCTCTTCCTGTGGGTGTAACTGAAATACAGCCAGTTTCAAGAAACAGGAATTACAGATGAATTGCAAAAATGAGTGGGAATAACTGCGGAAGCCAGTGGGGGGGGCTGAGAACTGTATGCCTCAGGGTATTCAGCACCATATAAAAGCAGGTTCTCATGTGGGCTGAACAAATGCTATACGAGGTAAGTTGTATCTCCAGGCAGCTTATTTCAGGAAGGTAACTGCTTTGCAATCCACCCCATTCACAAGCCTTTACTGGAAAAAAATAGATACACACAGTGTACAGGTGACAACCTGCCTTAGAGCAAGGACTCCCAGCTAATTCACACTGATACAAACTACCAACAGGTACAGGAATTGACTGTTTAAGTATTGTAAACACAGGCACATAAACAGGAACCAATTTTTATTTAATGACATGACACATTGTACATATTATGTACTCCACTACATACACACCATGCTGGATGTTTGGCTTCTGGATTTCAGAACTTGACTTATTTTCTGTTTTCTTTATATTACCTTGACCTTCAGCTACTCTGATAATCACAGAACTATTTATTCTGATAAATTAGCTAGCTGAAGGCCAGCTAACAGAATGAAGACACCACATTTGCTGTGTTGTTAATGGGTTTACATTTTTATAGGGACTGCAGCTTGCTGTATAGATGATTTCTTTCAGTGACAAAGTTGCTGGCCTTGAAAAAAAGAAAATTTTCTTTACAAGGCACATTCTGCTTCATATTTTCATGTTGCTGATGGTTCCTGTTTTCTCTGACAGTGCCTATGAACACCCAAGCAGGTTTCAG